ATTGTTTATTAGATGAGAACGGATCAAAACATTTATCTTCATGTAAGGCAAAAGTTTTACCTTTTCTTGACCAGACATGTTTTCACGTAGGACATCAGATCCTGTCTCAATTGAATATGCATTCCATAACTTAAATTCGTAAACGAGGAGTAACTTTTTCCCACGTTTAGTGAAAGATGCGGGATCGAACCTTGGTCATGTCAGTGTGTCGGGGATAGTGGGTACCATGATTTACGAGCCACTTGGAAAATAAAAATAAACTATCCTTTTTGGTTTGTATGTATTTTTAGTGAAAATAGGAGAGAGAGAGAGAAGATTCAAATGTGGCCATTTGGATAGTTGAGGAGTCTTTGTATCAATCGACGGCCACACAACTGAAGAGTGTTTATCTCCTTTCACAGATTCAAAGGGTCAAAAGCTCCTCTATAGGGCCCCGTTCTTATAATTTAAACTATATAAATTAAAGTGCATTCATTTATTGGAACTTTATGTATTTTGTTTTTGTAACTGTTTCGTGTCTTATTTATTGTATGTTTTGATTAGTATACTAGCTAGTGTTTATGGAGTATACATTAAGCTTAACTAATGAGTGTTTATATTTACATTAGTTTAGTTTTAGTATCCAATATGCAGTGGTACGTAAACAGCCATACACTAGTTTTTTTTTGGGTGGAAAGAGCCATACACTAGTTAGTTTAAACAACTAGTCATATACAAGTACACAACAACAGAAAAAGTTGAAAGATTTTTTGTATAAAAAGATTGTATATTAAGACAATTTTTTTTGGTCGTAGGAGGGGGCTATGCCCCCAATTTATTAAAAGAATCAAATAAAAGTTACAAACGGATTAGGCGTGAAATACCAGTCCCAACAGAGTCCTCTAAGAAGAGTGGATGAACATCATCCGATACAGAAGTAAAAGAGTGAAAACCCGAAGGCAACGAGAACGCATAGTTAGCTAACCCATCCGCAAGGCGGTTAGCTTCCCTATACACGTGAGAAACCCGGACTATCCAGTCCCTTGATAGAAAGCCATGGCACAAGCGTACCAGGAATGACAGCGGATGTACCTCCTCAATCCCTGTCCTGAGAAAACCAACAACCATCTCCGAATCGACCTCCAACTCTACTCTCTGGGCCTTGCTGTCCCAAGCAATACACAGTCCATAGTACACACCCCATAATTCAGCTAGAGGTGCTGTACAAATGCCTATGTTGAGAGCAAAGCCACGGCACCAGCACCCAAGCTCGTCTCGTAACACTCCTCCTGCAGACGCTAGACCCGAGTTACCTCTAGACGCTCCGTCTGTGTTTACCTTCACCCAGCCTGCACTTGGTCGCACCCAATGGACCAGTCTCTCTATCCATGTGGCTCTGGTCCTGCTATTTATGTTAACACTTTGATGTGCAGCTGTCGCTTCCCGCGTTTGATCCTTCACAAACTGTACTCTGTCTCTGCATTTTCCGGACCCATTGAAGACATTAATACATCTCCACTTCCATCCCCACCAAGCTGCCATAGCAAACAAGGTGGACCAGGTGGTATCCCAAATCTCTCCATGATCACCAAGGTTCGAGTAAATCCACTCTAACAGCGTTTGAGTGAAAAACTCTTACCTTTTGCGCACCGGTACAATACGACGCCAAATGCCCTCCATCGCTGGACAGTCTCGGAGCACGTGTAGGATAGTTTCATCTCCTCCTCTGCACACCTGACACACTCCCGACGTCGACAAGTGTCTCCGCTGCCTCTCTGAGTTTGTCATAAGCACCTGATGTACCCCCAGCCAGATGAAGGTCCGGACTCTTTCCGGTACGACTACTCGCCAAACCCGCGTGAATACAGCACCCAGGTCTTGCCGAGGTGTATTGTCCCTCGTAAAGAAAGCATGAGCCGAGCCTACTGTGAATCTTCCATCAGGCCTCTCTCCCCATGATATTCTATCCTTTGCTCCGGTGACATTATCAATGACCACCGATTGTAGTTGTAGTATCACGCTAGATGTGAGCAGCGATTCCAACTGTTCCACCAACCAACCAGTCCCATTTCGCCATAGATCACAAACCCGAACCTCCTCAGTTTCATTTGCAAGTGGCAATAAAGCTACTTCTCTAAGCGGCTTCTCCACTAACCATCTGTTCATCCAAAACTTCACGTGTTTTCCATCGCCGACGATCCAACTTAAACCGGGCATGACTATCTCTCGCAAGCCCAAAGCAACACTTCGCCATGTTGAGGACCATGTACCTTTAGTCACCAGCCAGCTCTGATCATGAGGCTCTTTCACTTTATACTTACTTCTTAGCACTCGTGCCCACAAACTATCAACATTATGGAGAAGCCTCCACCCTATTTTGGCCAATAGCGCTTTATTCATATCAGATGACAAGCGTATCCCGAGACCTCCAGCTCGCTTCGGTTGGCATACTTTCCTCCAACTCAGCAAGTGCGGCTTCCTCTGTTCTGTGGTACTTCCCCAGAGGAAGGATCTTGATGCCTTGTCCAAGCTATTCAGCGTAGATTTCGGCAGTGATATTGTACTCATCGTGTGAACTGGTACTGAGGAGAGTACTGACCTTATTAACGTGAGCTGTCCCGCGAAACTCAGGCAACATCCCTTCCACCCTGCCAAGCGAGATAAGACTCGCCCCAACGTTTCCCCAAATGTATCCTTATTGATCCTCTTCTGTAGGATGGACATCCCAAGATACTTCCCCACCTCTCTCGTTGCCTTGATCCCACTCTCATCCGTAATCAATCTCTCCATATTCCGACTCACGTTCTCCGAGAAAAAGATCTTAGATTTGTCAAGACTAACCTTCTGACCCGAGGCGATGCAGAAGGTTTCCAACACACGTCTTATCACACGAATCTGACCCACCGAGGCTTCAGCAAATAGGATGAGGTAATCCGCAAAGCATATGTGGGAAAGTTGAGGCCCGCCCCGAGATAGTCTGATAGGCTTCCATTCTCCCTTAGTTATAGAACAATCGATCAAGTGACATAATCTCTCGAGGCAAAGAACGAACAGATATGGCGACAACGGATCGCCTTGTCGTAAGCCTCTCAACGGTGTAATAGGCGCCGTTTTCTCACCATTCCAAAGCACATGCATCGACGGTCCAACAACACACCGCATTATCCAGTTCACCCACTTGTCTGGGAATCTCGCCACTCTCAACGTATCTTCCAAGAAGTCCCATCTGATCCTGTCATAGGCTTTCTCCAAGTCCAACTTTAGTAGCATCCAACCTTTCTTCCCCTTCTTACGCCTCATAGAGTGTACCGCTTCCTGCACCACCACAATATTATCAACGCTTAATCTCCCCGGAATGAAGCTTGACTGCGCAAGGCCTATCAGCTTTGGCATTATACTCTTTAATCTTGTAACCATAGCCTTCGTGATAGTCTTAAACAGGACATTACACAAGCTAATGGGTCGGAACTGTGTCACCTGTTCCGGCTTCTCCACCTTTGGAATCAAAACAACCAAAGCATCATTCATCCCCTCTGGTAGTTGTCCTGTTTCAAAAAAATCCAAGACGATGCGCTCAACAGACTCTCCGACCATGTCCCAGCAATCTTGATAGAAGACGGGTTGAAAACCATCTATCCCCGGAGCCTTGAACCTTCCCATACCACCTCAGTTGCTACAAAGGGTCTATCCAACCTCAGTTTCTCCTCTCGACTGAGCTCCGTGAAGCCACCGTGGGGGAGTCGCTCTACCGTAGCATCCACGTCATCCAGGGAATAGAGTCTTTGGAAGTATCCCACCGCCAATGCTTCCAGTTCGTCTTGGTTCACCACCCATTGTCCTGTGTCATTTTTCAGCGTCTCAATCCGATTTCTTCTCCGTCTGATAACCGTAGAGGTATGGAAGTATCTCGTATTTCGATCTCCGTGAGCGATATACTTCTCTCGTGATTTTTGGTACCAGATGAGCTCCTCTTGCTCCATTACTGCATCCAGTTCCTTCATCAACGTATTCTCGCTATCCAGAAGCGCATCAGTCTGATTGACCTCCAGTAAGTCTTGGAGGTTTTTTATTTGCCGGAGAAGCTCCTCTTTCCGTCTGTTCACATCACCGAAGACCTCGTGATTCCATCTTTTTAGCTTCTCTCTCAAAGCCTGGAGCGCGTGTGGAGTAGACACTGCATTATTCCAAGAGTTTCTCAGCAAGTCTTGGAAGCTCTCGTGCAACAACCAAGCCGCTTCGAATCGGAATGGTCTCCTTTTCGGGTCACTTGATTGCGTCGGTGAGAGCTGTATATAGAGCGGGGTGTGATCGGATGCCAAGAATGGAAGGTGAGTCACCGATGGATCCTGCCACTTCAACCTCGCATGCGCATTACAAAACACCCTATCCAAGCGTTTAGCCACATAGTATTGCTCCGTTCGACCACGACGCCATGTATACCTGTGACCTCTAAATCCCATATCTATCAGGTAGTTATCATTAACCCATCCTTCAAACGCTAATGAGTCTACAGATAACTGCCCATTACCTCCTGTACGCTCATCCAGCCGGAGGATCGTATTGAAGTCTCCACCCACAATCAACGGCTCCTCAATGTCTTGAATCACCTCACTTAATTTTTCCCATAAACCACTTCGACGGCTCACTGTCGGAGCTGCATACACCACTACCACGTGTATATTCTCCTCGCCATCACTCACCTTGGCATAAATAAACTGGTCGGAATTCTCGACAACGGTAACTGACCCGCACCCATCCTTCCACAACAACCACAGGCCACCACTTTGTCCCACTGCATCAACTCGAAACGAATGTTCGAAGCCCAAACTCTGACAAATCTTCCCAGCCTTCTCACCTCCGGCATGCGTCTCAAACAAAGCAAGGATATCAATGTTAAACTTCTTCAACATATATCGAATGGATCTTCTGAAGTTGGGTTTATTCGCCCCCTGGCAATTCCATAATAGCAGATTCTTCATCGGAAATATGTACGAATTGAATCGAATTACCGGGGCGAGCCATCAGAGAGCCACTGACCCCAATCCGCCTTGACTCATCGACGTCTGCTCAATCGGGTCTGATCGATTCAGACTCTCCTCCAATCCCAAATCAAACGATCCCAAATTCGCCAGCCTTTCCTCATCCACCATCGCCGGCCTGATTCCGCCATCAGATCCGGTTGAGAACGCATCACCGGGTCTCACCACAGTCGCCACCTCCACCCGTAGTCTCTTCCCCGATGACGATGGGTCCCCATATGATGTAGATGGGCCAAACACCAAGCTCATTTGTGGCTGAGTGTGCTTTGGTTTTGCTTTTGGCCCATTGGGCTTCAAAGCCGGATTCTGTCCCGCCTTTTTCCCTTTCCCACTTTCTCGCTGCCCTGCTTTGTTACACAATCTTCCACTAACCACTTTCGAAGCTGGTTTACTCGTATCTTGTACCATGATTTCATTCTCCTTATTTGCCTCCGAGGATATATCAACTTGACATATCTCAGTCTCTTCCATATCCGAACCCAAATTTCCAAAACTGTTGGAAAGTGTAATATTCGCATTATCTCCACTGCTCGTAATATCCCGCAAATTACGCCCAAGATTCTCTCCGGAGTTCCCTGCCCGGAACACGACTGGTTCCGACGGTCGCCTATTCTGCCTGCGCACTGGGGTAAAACCATCATCGGCCGTTTCTCTCACCGGACTAGTCACAACCGCATTTTCCCTGCGTATCTCCTCAGCTCGATGTGGTTCCCCTAACGGGCACTTGTGAACCAGATGGCCATAAATGCCACACCGAGAGCAGATATCAGGCAATCTCTCGTAGGAAACGAAATACCTATCTCCATTGATCAATACCGACCCTTTAAGCGGTTTCCGTAAATTAACTTCCACGCACACCCTTGCAAAGCGGGCTCTCTCCAAATTCAACGTAGTTGCATCCACCCTTAGCGGTTTGCCAATCCCTTTGGCTATCCCCATTAGAATGGTCTTATGGTAAAAGTTGATCGGGAGATTTGACATGCGAACCCAAACAGGGGTCGTGGTGATTTCATTCACCATCAGATCAAACTCCGGGGACCATGCTTGCACCATAAGGTAACTACCAAACATTCTCCACGGGCCTCCCGTCAGCGTCTGCAAGTAGTCTCCCTCCTCTCCAAAGCGGACCATAAAGAATTGTCTCGGAAGATCCAATACCTGCATCGTTCCAATGGGGTTCCACATCTCTCTCAGCTTCTTGTGGAGAACCGCAATAGGATTACTCCTTCCCAACACCTTCACAATCATACACTGCTTCCACAAACTGTTCATCGCATCCAACACCTCCCTTCCAATAGTGATTACTGGTTCACCATCCTCTCCATCTGGAAACTCCACATTCAAACGATTAAAGACAAACTCCTCATCTAGAACTGCCTCCGGTCTCAAACCTCCGCCCACACTCGTTCCGCTTACTCTCGATGCCCACTCCCGTCCGGCGGATCCCCTGGTGGCCTCCCCTTCTCCGTGGGATCCGTCATCGTCTCGTCCCGATCTCCCAAAGCCCTAGCTGCGCCGCTCTCCATAGCTTGTTTATGATATATTAAGACATAAAAGTATCAAAACACTCTTTTAAGTGCGATGTTTTTAGTATTTTAAAAGTATTTCAAAATAACAATCGTTTCAAAATCACAATGCAATTATTTATAGATATTTCATTTGCACCCCTGTGTGTTAAAATACAGCATATTCGATTAATAAATGAAATGATTGTGTTTTTTGAAAAATATACACAATAGTCAATGGTTTATCGGATACTATAGACTACAGTATAGTTTCTATATGTGAAAATATTATATAGTAATATAGTTTTAATACAGTATGTTGGAATAATTCTTTCACTGATGAATATATTAGGTACACATAGGTCTAATATAGAAAGATATTTGACTTAAAATTCTAATATAGAAATAAAGAGATTACTGGGAAAAAAAACTATAAATCTAAATATAAAAATAGAGAGAATCTTTTTTTTGCAATCGAATCTTAGAAAATCAAGGAAATAATGAATTTGTTTGTTGACCAGAAAAAAAAGGAAAATTTCAAAACTACACATTTTGAGATCCCAATTTTCAAAAATACATTTCTATAGTGCCTATTTTCAAAACTACTTTTCATTTAGAAAAAGAACTCTAAACCCTAAAATATAAACCTAAAACCCTAAAATCTAACATTGAACCCTTAAGTTTAAACCCTAAACCCCAAAATCTAAACCCTAATCTAGGATTAGTGAACCCAAACCTATATATTAAAATTAGGAAAAAATGTATTTTTGAAAATTTTCACATTATAGGTGTAATTTTGAAAATTTGCACCTCAAAAGGTGTATTTCTTAAAATTTCTCGAAAAAAAAAAACATTTCATTTAGATTTTTATGGTTGAACATGTCAGTTTACGTCTTAGAACATTTAGATAATAAAAATTAGAGTCAGTTTATGTCTTAGAACTTAGTTAATACGTATTTGAACTTAGTTAATGCACATGTCTTTGAACTTTTTGTGTATATGTTTTGAACTTTTTGTGTATATGTTTTGCTACTTTTAAGGTTGATTTGTATACATACAGTACAACGAATTTTAGGTATTATACCTTTATGATAGAAAAAAGCCTGTCCCCTGGACCATGCTAGGTGGACTGCAACACGTGGTTATTTCCTCTCGCTGGAAAACACAAGAGATTCTCCTTTTCAAATAATTTGATATGATAAAACAATAAAAGGAGCATATAATTCAGAAACCATTTGATTAACTTATGGAGTACAAACTTCGAACAGATGTCTTGCAAATCGATGTGTTTCTGTTTGAGTGTTTGATTGTTTCAAACTTTCAATCATGAAAATAATAATATTATTATAATTTGATCTAAAGTGAAACTTTACCTCTTCTATGGGCTTTTTCTAGTAGAAAGCTTCATTAAAATCACAAAAAGCAAACATTATTATTTCCACAACATACAGAGAGACTACAAGGTTTGGTCCCAAAAAGAATGATCATTGTTATTTACACAAGAACCGAGCCAAGCGGCTACATAGACTTATGGTCAAAACTTGACCTTGTGAACAACAATGCCGAACCATTCACACACCTAAGTACAAGCAACCTACTATCTATATACGTACCACACACAAGCTTAGACAAATCGAACATCTCCTGCGGAATCTGCTTCCTAACTTCTCCAATCACATTCCCAGGCGATTCCACACGATCATTCATGCTCATCGTCACTTCGATCTCTCCAGAGACGAGCTTCGCTACAGGAAGACTCGACGGAAACTCCTTGAAAGGCACGACTTTTTTCCATCTCTTGGTTTCTAGTTTCTCCACTAGACCTTCTTCAGCGTCTGGCTCCCCCATTGAGAACTTGCCAATGTTCTTCTTCTCTTCTTTGAGGTAGAGTCTTTTTCCGGCTACTAGTCTGAACTGAGAGAGCGTTTGTAGTTTCCCCGTGGCTCCGGTTTTGTTGTGTGGCCAGTCTTTGCTGGTTATGGCGGTGAAGCCTATATCAGAGGTAAAGGATAGTGAAGCGTTGTTGGCTTCTGGAGCTCGTGTTACTGTTAAGTGAACGTTGCCTATTAAGGCACGCGTAGAGGGCTGACGCAGAGTTAGTCCTATGTGCTTTCCCGTTGAGTATAACAGACGCCATTTCCCAGGTAAAAGCTCCAACCAACACTGTGTTTAACCAAGAGATTAAAGAAGTTAGACCAAGTTAAAGAACCATATGAGAGGTGGAGATTGAAGAAGTTACATTTGGCTTTGGACATGGGTTTAGCATCTCCATTAGTTCAATGAAATGGGCAAGTCTTTGTCGCTGCATCAGATTTGTTTTCCGGTTAGTGTTTTAGTAAGAGTAAAGGCTAAAACTTTTAATCTTCTATATTTACCTGAGGCATGCGGTAAATGTATTCTTCTGAGATCCTTACTGCGGTTGATCCAAGGCCCCATCTGATGATATCCATTGATGGAGCAACACGCCATCTTGGTCCACATAGAAACGGATGTTTAAGAGCATCCAAGCAACTGCAACCAAAACCAGAAAGATTTAGTTCATGTAGCACGTAGAGGGCTGACGCAGAGTTAGTCCTATGTGCTTTCCCGTTGAGTATAACAGACGCCATTTCCCAGGTAAAAGCTCCAACCAACACTGTGTTTAACCAAGAGATTAAAGAAGTTAGACCAAGTTAAAGAACCATATGAGAGGTGGAGATTGAAGAAGTTACATTTGGCTTTGGACATGGGTTTAGCATCTCCATTAGTTCAATGAAATGGGCAAGTCTTTGTCGCTGCATCAGATTTGTTTTCCGGTTAGTGTTTTAGTAAGAGTAAAGGCTAAAACTTTTAATCTTCTATATTTACCTGAGGCATGCGGTAAATGTATTCTTCTGAGATCCTTACTGCGGTTGATCCAAGGCCCCATCTGATGATATCCATTGATGGAGCAACACGCCATCTTGGTCCACATAGAAACGGATGTTTAAGAGCATCCAAGCAACTGCAACCAAAACCAGAAAGATTTAGTTCATGTAGCTTCTTACTTCTTGGAATTATCGTGTACTAATGTTATGTTCACCTTATTCTTTTGGAAGGTCTGGTAGCAATCAGTGAAGATAAAAGATGCCAACCTGCTCCCCAGTTTCTATCAAGTATCTGAGAGCAAACAAAAGGTGATGATGATAAGCAATTATGCTGAGAGGTGGAAGATATAGTCTTAAGCTGAGTACTTACTTGCACTCCTGTATTTCCAGATTCAGAGTTTGTATTGAGCGTCGTCACGAAGAACTCACGTAGAGAGGAAGGATCATTCCCCTAGATATACAATTCGAAGGATACTTAAACATCAAACTCATCGATGGATTATTTCATCAAGAACACTCTGTAGCCTCAGTTAATAATAACCTTTGCGAGGAAAGACTTCAGTTTCGCAAAGATTATTGGATCCATCAGTTCTTGAAGTACCATTTTTGCCATCATGAATCCAACACATCTTTTGACCATGAAAAAGGAAAAATGTAGAATCAGACAAGAGTAATGTAAACAAACAGAAATTATATTTAGCTTCTCTCTGTTCAAAATACCTCATGTCAAATGCTATCATCATTTGTCGTCTGTCCATGGTACTGTAAGCGCTGCTATTACTTGTACCATATTCGTAAAAGTCTGCAGCATTTCCGAGAATCCCTACCTACACAAGTTGGCCCAAAAAATAAAGCTGAAATTAATTGACAGAACTAAGCGATAAGTTAGCTTAATAATCAGACTTAACTAACTTTGATATGTCTATCCACAGGGCTAATATGTACATTCTCCAATCTCAGTTCAGTGTGAGCAAGACCATGGCTGTGCAAGTAATTGACCTTCAAGTTATAAAAAAACATGTTAAGCCAAATCATGACGAAAAGAGAGAACTCTTCTGGTTGTTTAATGGATATAAATATATAATACATACTCCGATTAAAATATCCCTCATTAGTATACGGATGAGTCTCAACTGCCTTGAAACCGCAGGCCCTCCAGTTGTATCATCCCCAACCCTTCTAAAGGATTCTTCATCTAGTGCGAGAGTAGCTTCTAATGTTGGAAGCCAATCAGATTGTTGAAGCCAGTGCCTAATCGAGAAACTTCCATGGCACTGCAAGAAGAGATCAAATATTAACGAAAGCTCGAACGAAACATGTTTGTGGATACATAAGTGGGGAAGGAAGAGAAGAGAAGCTCTCACCCCATGAAATCGGATTTTGGTAAATTACTCGACCGCCATGACCGATGCTAACACGATCAAGGATCTTGAAATCATTCCACTTGAACTGCTTCACGTGTGCTGACTCATCCTCCATTGACACTGATGGATGATTACTCTGAACATCCTCCTCCTCCATCTCCACATTAGACGATGGAGATTTTAAGGACGACGAGCAACGAAATGTTGCAGGTTTTGTAGTTTTGAGCTGCCATAGCCTCCTGTTCCGTTTTAAACCAGTGTTCGAGTTCTTAGCTGATTGCAACACTTCCAGATTCCGGAGACTTGGAGTCGAACACACACCACAAAGTGCCATCCAACAAAAAAAACCCTTCATAAATCCAAAAAGATAAACTTTTTGAGCTGAACTCAAATCCGTCAACGCTAAATTTCTAAACAATAGAGAAATTCAAATTATTTTACCTCCGAAACTATTAATTTCAGCACAAGAAAAAATGATGGAAAATTAGAGATTGCGTAATCCCGTGAAAAAAACAATCATTATACTCAGAATCAGAAGCTCACCGATCAGAGAGAGAGAAAGAGAGAGTTCGATCTGGAGACGACAAGCAAACTTCACATTCGGAAAAAATGGATTAAATGCCAAATTTAAAAGAAATCGGAAAAAAACGAAAGTCGCATATAACGACGAAGAAGCTCGTGAGAGTTGCGTGATGAAGTACGCCTGAGGCCTCGCGCCTCGCGGTCGACTCGCGTCTACGTCTGCCTCTAATTTTCGACAAATATCTGAAAACTCTAATTGGGCCTATTTAATGGGCCTTTTTAGTAAACTTTACCGGGCTTAGTTATCGGGCTCCAGCTGTCGCCAGTTATTGAGTCGCGTGACGTGGCGATCACTGACTGGATGGATGACCGTGTGAGAAATAATAACCGTAGCCGATACGCTCCCTGAACCGGCGAGGAAAGCAAAATTCGATCTGATGACCTCGGGGCAAAACCGTAATAATTTGAGGAATTAGAAGGCTAATATCGTCATTACTGAGTTTAATCCCTTAGTCTTCCCTTTGTCTGAATGAAAACAGTTAATCGAACGCAACACATTTTCTCGTTTTTCTTCTTGAGCCATCGAAAAAGGGCATTAAGGGCTCTCTCTCTCTCCCTCTTCCGTTTTTATCCTCATCTCCCGCTTCGTGGCTCTTTTGTAATTCTCTCCATTTAAATCTCGCCGCCGGCCGTCGAATCGTCAGCGATCTGGATTCTTCGGCCCGCCGTTTCGTTATCCTCGAGAGAGTCTTGTTTTCGTTTTAATTCCGCTGAAAGGTTCGCGACTTTCTGTGGAAAATCAAAATCAAATTCAAATCCCCGAAAACCTCGATTAGGGTTTCTGGTTCTCCCATTTTGACGATTCGGAATCGAGAAGAATCAAGTTTCGTAGATTGGGGGTTTTTGCGATTGTGGAGGTTGTCTCACTTTTTCCCCTCTTTCTGATTTCTCCTTACTAACTGTCGAGTGATTGATTAATTTCTGGAGATGCCGAGGAGTACGAGGCACAAATCGAGCAAGCATAAGGATGCGAGAGACTACTCCGATTCGGAGAAAGAGTCGAGTTTGAAGGAGAGGAAGAGCAGCAAAGATGAGAGTAGTGCTAGGGTTTCCAAGGATTCTGCTTCCGGTGACAAGCGAAAGCTTGATTCCAAGGAGTATTATGATTCGACTAATGGGGAGTACTATGAGGAGTATACTTCCTCGAAGCGCCGGAAAGGGAAATCCGGAGATAGTGGTAGTGATAGATGGAATGGTAAAGATGAAGAGAAAGAGAAAGGGGAGTCTTCGAAGAAGACAAAGGCGTCTAGTGAGAAGAGTAAGAGGAGAGAGGAAGTAGATGGTGAGGAGACGAAGAAGAGTAGTGGTAAAAGCGATGGGAAGCATAGAGAGTCTAGTAGAAGGGAAAGCAAAGAGCTTGACAAGGAGAAAGATCGGGAAAAAGAAAGGAAGCATAAAGAAGGCAAAAGTGAGAAACTTCATGATGGTGAAGATCACCATAAGTCCAAAGCTGGTAAAACTGGTAAGATACTTCGACCATCATCAAATGATTGATTCGTAATCAAAATAGCCTCTTGAACCTTAGATTGAATACATTGCCTTTTTTCTTCTAGTTTAGTGGACTTGAGTACTCGTATTTGCTGTTGCTTTTGAGCCTTGTAATTCCATGCTTGACATAGTTTCTGGTTGCAGTTTGGCAAGAGATGAACTATAGCCAAAAAAAATAGATCAATATTTTTTCATCCATTGTTGAATTTGGATAGGAATCATAGTTCTTTGTGAAAGATAAGACTCCTAAGAATTGAAAATCTAGCATCTTTGTATTTCTAAGTGCAGATTTTTGAAGTAGTTATTGTTATTAACAACTTGGAGTGTTTATTCACGTTGCTTCTGTGCTATTGCCTTTGCCAAGATAAGTTTGAGTTAGTGCTGCTTTGGTTGCTATTATTTTCGAGGCTTAACGTATGAAAATTTGGAAACGGATGTGCCTGTTTAGTGAAATGCCTCATATTCAAGTTTAGAAATGCAAATGGGTTTTGGTATTGGGTTTTGCTAATCACTTTGTTTCTTTTGGATTTAGAGTTGAAAGCTCAGGATCAGCCGGACAATCATACTGAGAAGCGTTCAAGGCGGAAGAAGGATGATCATGGTGTCGGAGACAAGCATCAAGATAACAGTGATGATGTTGGCGATAGGCTCACTTCCGGAGATGACTACATTAAAGATGGGAAGCAGAAAGGATCGAAAAGTAGAGAGAAGAGTCGGGATGACAAGGAAGAAGACGTCAAACAGAAAGGTGACAAGCAGAGAGATGACCGACCTACTAAAGAGCAAACGAGGTCTGATGAAAAGCACCTCCGAGATGAAAGTAAAAAGAAATCTAAAGTACAGGATAATGACCATGGTCATGAGCCTGACAGTGAGCATGATGGATATCATGACCGTGAACGCAATCGGGACTATGATAGGGAAAGTGACCGAAATGAGCGGGACCGAGAACGAGCTCGGGAACGTGATCGTGATTATGAGCGAGATAGGGAGCGTGATAGGGATAGGGAACGTGATCGCGATCGTCGGGATTATGAGCATGATCGTTACCATGAACGGGATTGGGACCGTGATAGGAGTAGAGATCGTGACAGGGATCATGATAGGGACAGGACTCATGACAGAGAGAAAGACCGTAGTCGTGACTATTATCATGATGGAAAACGAAGTAAAAGTGACCGTGAGAAGGATAATGATCGTGATGAGCAAAGTGGTCGGTACAAGGATAGGAGGGAAGGTAGGAAGTCTCCAGAGTATCAGGATTATCAGGAAGTCAACATTGGCTCTAGAAGTAGCAGAGCAGAGCCTGATGGTGATGTGATAAGATCAGAGCGTCAACTTTCCAGTTCAGTGGTTCAAGAAGAGAACGGGTATGATATGTTCTCAAAGCATTTAAATGTTGTGATTGCTCTGTGTTCTATCCTTGGAATTTAATGTATTAAGTTTTTGACTTTTCTATTCTAATGGAGATTTGGGTTGCTGCCTGAATTTCAGAGTTTTTTAGTTTGTGCTAAGCTTTTGACAAGCTAAGGTTGAGACTCATCATAATTTTGTTGTGCTGAAACAGGAATGTGTCGGATCAGATAACCAAAGGGGTCTCTTCCAGGGAGGCGGCTGAGCTGTCTGGAGGATCAGAGAGAGGTACAAGGCATAAAGTTTCTGAGAGAACAGTGAAGTCTGAAGATGGTGTTTTGGGCGAGTTTCAGGCTGAAAGGTCGTCCGCCCCTAAAGCTTCACCCAGAACTATGGTTGAAAGATCTCCCTCTTCGACTAGTCTTGACCGGAGATACAATAATCGGAGTGGTTCAAGACGAAGTCTTGAAGTTGAAGAAACGGGTCATAGGAGCAATGCTAGGGAATTTTCAGCAGCTGAGGATGAAAGGAATCTGGCAGATGGCACATCCCAGGCAGAATTATCCTTTAACAACAAGGTCAATCAGAACAATTCTTCTTTCCCTCCACGTCCTGAATCTAGGGGTGGCATTAGCAGCCCTAGAGTTGGCCCTCGAGAAGAAGATAATAGGGTCAATACTGGACGTTATAAGAGAGGCAGCGTTGATCCGATGATGGGAAGAGGGCAAAGTAATGTGTGGAGAGGTGTCCCAAATTGGCCATCTCCCCTTCCAAATGGATTTATTCAATTCCAACATGTTCCGCAGCATGGCGGTTATCAAGCTATGATACCACAGTTCTCATCTCCATCTATCTTTGGGGTGAGGCCTTCCATGGAAATGAACCATCCTGGAATCCCTTACCATATACCTGATGCTGAGAGGTTCTCTGGTCACATGCGTCCTATCGGCTGGCAGAATATGATGGATGCCTCAGGCGCTTCTCACATGCATGGATTCTTTGGGGATATGAGTAATAGTGTTTTCAGGGATGATTCAAGCATGTATGGGGGATCTGAGTGGGACCATAACAGGCGCATGCAGGGCAGGGGCTGGGAATCTGGTGCAGATGAATGGAAAACTCGAAATGGAGATGCGAGCATGGAAGTTTCATCAATGTCTGTGAAAGATGATAACTCTGCGCAGGTTGCTGATGATGAGTCTCTTGGCGGCCAAACTAGTCACTCTGAAAATGGCAGGGCAAAAAGCGTTGAAGCTGGTTCTAATGTAACATCTCCAGCAAAAGAAGTGCATGCGAGTTCTCCTAATACTAATGCAGAAGCTGTGGCTGAAGATCTTGTTACAGAAACAAATGATAACTATGAACGTTATTGCCGGCATTATCTCTCAAAGCTTGATATATCGTTAGAACTTGCTGATCCCGAGCTGCGTGAATGCATTAGCTTGTTGGTGGATGAAGAACGTCTAACGATGGATGATGGAACTGCTGTGTTTGTAAATCTCAAGGTAAAACTCTCTCAATCCTCAATCAGTCTATATGTATGTAATTTTGAGACTCTTTTCTCATTATCTCTATATTTGTTTGATGACAGGAAGGTGGGAAACGAGTGACGAAAAGCAACAGTACTTCCTTGAAGACTCTTTCACTGTTTCCTTCTCAGAACAGTTCAGTGTTTCAGGTAATGCTCTAACACAAGGAAAAAAAGTTTCTGGTATTAGCTCCCGAGTAATTTGAGACTTATGTCAATACAATAACGTGATCTTCCCGCAGATGGCTTTGAACCTCTACAAGGAGCAAAGATTTGAAATAAAGGGTCTCCCAAATATCGAATATCATGAGCCTCCTCCTAAAGTCTCTCCTTCCAATATGGTCAAAGTTGATAGCAATGATGATATGAACGATGTAATGAAAGGAAATAGTTTCGTGGAGACAGCAGATGTGAAAGCTGCAGATGTTTCAGATTCAGACACGTCCCATAAGGAACAGCCAAAAGTGTCGTCACCTGTTGATGCCGGAATGGAGATAGAAACACAAGACGGAGGAGGTTTATCGCCCAGTCCAGATAAGTCACCGGAGGCTCAAGAAGCTGTAGCTGCAGATCTCATTGAAGTTCACGAGGAAGATGCAAAGCCAGATGAAGGAGCTGATGTAGACCAAACAATGGAGACAGCTCCTGAACATGATGGTGTTACAGAAGGTGATGATCCTGTTACCTTGACAATAGCTTCACCGGCACCGGTGGCTATTGAGGTCGAAGAGCAGATCGATCTTGTGGCTGAAGACGAGAACATGGAAGAAGCAGAAGAGAAGAAGGTAGCTGATGATGGAGATGAAGATGGACTTGTAATTGTTGGGGATGTATCTCCAAAGGTAATGGAACCATTAGTTCATGAGTCTGATGAGTCAGTAATAAGTCGGATACATCATTCTCCTCAAAGTACACATTAAGAACATTTCTATAATTCCATCTCCTGCTTTTGTTTTGTTTTAATCTTTTATTTTCAATGCAATTTTTTTCTTCTCAAAATCCATTGCTTATTTCCGTTTTCTGTTCCTTTCTTTTGTGCTCTCTTTTACCCATTTCGTGCCGCAAGAAATAATAAGAGAAGGAAAAATGGAAATGCGTAGCAGTCTTTCTTTTGTTTTGCTTTTTGATCTTATAATTTAAAGAGCCCTAAAAGAGAAAAGGTTTGAAGAGTAAGCTATACAGAAATTGCAAATGAGAAATTACTTCGCTTCAAGCTTATCTAGTCTTTCTACCTACAAAACAAATGCATTGAAGCATACGTAACTGAAGAAGTGCCTTATTCGGATATCCAAAAAGAGGTGTCTGTCTATGTAAAGGATCAATATCATCAGCTTTAAGCTCCCTGAGATTCCTATTCAACCGTGGAGAGCAACAGGTTCTTGGGTTAGTAGTAGTCAGGTTCTTGGCTTCTTCTTCTTCTTATGTGTAAGAGCAGCTACATGTAAGTTTCTCTAATTCATGAACTTCCTGCAGTTTAGGGATTTACATAGACACGGCACCTTGAATTCATCTGGCTCATCTGGATCAAACAAGTAATCATATCTGCCAAAACACACAAAAACCATGTCATGACAAGTGAATGAATCAAAGGATGCTGCGTTAACTGCGTCAAAAGAGTGAGATATATATACGTTAACTCCTCGCCAGCAGGTACGGTGGTCTTGGCAATCAGAACAATCCGACTTTCATCATCTCCTACACTCATAATCCTTGCATAGCAATTTGGCATACACTGCATCACACAACACACCAAATTGGGGTTTTGGATTCAAGAAGATCTCTCTTGAGTAATCACTCATATTCTACTTACCGAATGGTTGATCAGTCGAGCGATATTCCCTTTCTCTGTAGCATCCACCACTACTTCCTCACTGATCTTGAACAGCTGCCACAAATTTTAAAAACAAAGTCTCAGAAATCTATGCTCAAACCAGTGTTTAAGACTGTAGCAAGGCAAATATCTTGTTTCGACTCACATAGCAATCCTTCCCTTCCCTACGATATCTTGCTTCCCTCAAGTCCGCAATGATTCCTCTCACTTGTTCCCCGCGGTATTCAAGAACCTGAAAAAGAATACACATTTCAACAGAGAGGAAAGGAAATACATTCCCTTCTTGGAAAAAGTATGCTCAGATGGTTCTGCATACCATTTCTCCTTCTTGAATGTTCCTTCTCGCGAAAAGGCCCCATCCATGTATCCCAGATCGACCGAAGCAGACCCGATCCATTTCTGTCCTCTGTCACAAGACATAAGATGTTAATACAACAAGGTATTACAATTTCTCTAAGACTTATGGGGGGGGGGAATGCTTACCTGCAAGTGGTGAAGCCGCTCCCTGAACGAGGAAAATGATTTGGGTTCCTCTGCCACATGCTACACATTATGTTTAACGAACAAAAGACTCAGTGACAAGTTGCGTTTCCTGGTGCATTATGCTTACTGGCACTACAGAGCCATAAAAGTTTTTTTCTTACCCTGAATGCGTTCAGAGTTTGGATCGCTGCTAAAGGATGATGACGTGGTCCTCCTTTGTAGTGAGGAATACCTTCTTCTTCAGTTCTCTATAAATCACAAATACCAAACACAATGGATCACAGCCTACTGAACAAAGGGGATTTGAGCCTCTATGCATACAGAGTTTTCAAAGATTCAACAAAGATATCTTTACCTTCTTGCTATTAACCTTTCTTTTAAATACACGAGAACGAGCAGAAGAAAATGGATCAACTGGTACGGTATCCTCTGCAGGGGACTCTTCCACATCTTCTCTGTTTGCTAAGATAAGCCTCGAACCCGTTCTCTTCTTGTTCTGAACAAGACTTTTGGCAGAGAAGACCCCTGAAGGCGTTTGTATAATTAACACGGTGTCTGGATTCGGAGCCCTACAGAGAAAACAAAAGTCATTACCCAAAATGAGATAGCAAAGATTTTGCAAGCAGAGGGTAGTGACAAACTTTACCTGTGATAAGCACAATACGACACCATCTTCGTTATCTGTCGACCATTTTTCTCCAGGCAGTGCAACTACATTAAACATGTGCTAATGTTACCAACCATACTTGTAATATCTTCAAATACAAAATGTTACAGCAATTTGATTCCATACTGGTCAAACGCAAGGGTCAGATAAAATAAAGAACTTCTTATGGCTTACCTCCATTCTATACCCAGCTCGGGAAGCACACATGGCATGATAATACGTAGAACACTTGCAACACTGAGTGCATGATCCATGTATTTGCTTGCATATCACACAAATCTGGAATTCATCAAGAAAATAGAGGAGGTTCATTGCTTTTTAGTTTTGCACAAAGTGTAACTTCCTATAAGTTAAGGAACAAGTAACCGTAGGAGCCAATCAAATGAACGCAATAAGCCAGAGTTTGAGATCCAGGAATTACTTGATGGAATATGTACCTTCACAAAATTACTTGATGGAATACTCAAAATTCCCAAAGCTGGTTCCATTTTTTCATCACTTGCAAAGCATACTTCAGGCTGAAACCAAGCACATGTCACGTGAACCCACAGTGTCTCCACATCAGTTGGCTTCAATGCACCTCCTATTCATCAGTATAAAAAAATGGCAAAAATTAATTGACAGGTAAAAACAGGAAATTCTCAATGAAAATGACAACTTCCAAGGGGAAATGCATAGCTAATTATGCTCATTAAGTAATATGCATAGGTGTTACCAGGAAAATTAATCACTACAGTGAAGAATATCTTTTATCGGTTGCAGTAGTTGCAACACTTTAAGTAAGCTAAGAAACGTAAAATGAAGAGACGTGCCTTTTACAGGACAGAGGCAACACTCTCGTTTGATCTCAGGTGTCTCGCAGGCTTTGCAGACCCATGATGTGAAGTCACGAACGTTTCTTGTCCCATAGCATTCCTGATGAACTGCTATTTGACATCTGAGGAGAAAAAGATATAATATTTCAATGATATCAGATTATGCTTCACAAGTAAGATACTTTCCAGTAAATATGAATAGTAATAGCAATGAACTTTAATATCACAAGAGCTGTCTGGTGATCCAAAGATTGAAATATAATGCAAAACAACTGATCTAGCATTCACAAGGTTCACTATCTACACGAAATCTATTATAGTTGAAAAAAGATTAGAGCAACAAGTATGCATTTTAGAACAGCACCTGTTGCAGATAATGATCTTGTTGTAGTCCCAATCTTCAACCCATCTGCAAACTGCACATCGTTCCGTTGTCCATTTCACATTGACCGGCTCATACTTCTCTGTCAATAGTGAAAGAACCAAAGCCAACATAAGCACCAACCAACACATCAGAAACTTCTGAAATCCGAATTGCTTAATACCTTTAAGAAAGGAAAGCAACCTCTGCTTTCTCTGCTTTATAGAAGGTCGTTTAGGAGTCTTTCCAGCAGTAGCACTTGCGTGGAACTCTGCTAATTTCATCATCTGTAGAGTGAAAGGAATAAAAAATTCCTTTCAGTCAAACATTTTGTATTTGATAGGAAAAAATTCATAAGAAAGAGATCACATCCCTAAAGAGTAGAATAAGAAAATTTCTACAAACCCATTCTTCTAGAGGCAGCTTGGAGCTTTTAACTTTAACACTAGTCCTCCAGTTTTTTGCTTTTGAACCAGTATGCCTTTCCCATTCACTAAGTGCTTTCCTGTCAGGTCCACAAGATCCACACTTGCATACAACTCTGTAAATAAACCAAATGGGATAAGAATACTCCGCAAATCATTAAACATAGATACCTTAAATTCTGGAGAAGTTAGAGACTAAAAGATCATTCTCTGATTCTCTCTCATTCAACGATACAGTAAAAGTGAAAACAATGTGAAATAACAATCACACGGTGTTGACTTACAAATGATGGCTTGGAAAATATATGCCTTCTACTCCGGAGCATACAACAATAACCTTGTCCGGAAGCACCATCGGAGCATTGTTTTTGCCAAGTCTATACCATAAAAATAATCCAAACTGAGAATTTGGCGTTGACGATTCGGTTGTTGGTAGGAATAAACAATAACAGTTGCAAGCAAATGGCACCTACTTGGATTTTGAGTCTTGTTTTTCTGAATCTGATAGCTCAAAGTTGAATTTTGTTCTGCACGTGGGGCAATAGTATTCTGTTTCTCCACCCAAATCCTTGAAGATTATCAAACAAAGCTGATCTCAATACACATGTAAGTAATTATGAACAAAGATAAAGAGTAACATGAACATGTACCTTAAAATGCTTATGTGATATTTGATCACACTCTGCATGAATCCAGACTTTACAACCATCACACTGCACCACCTGATTCACCGTATGTAACCAAACCGGGTTAAATTGCAGGAAAACATTAACTGATTCTAGCCTAAAAAGATAACATAATTCGTATAATCTTTTTACCCAGCTCTGACTATCTGCATGATTCCATAACTTCTTGCATATACCACACACCTGTTTTGGTTTTGTCAACTGCAATGATCATTAGTTAATTTCATCGATTTCAAACTGCAAAGCAGAAAATTTTACGTACCCTTGAACAAGGTTTACACAATAACTGATCTCCAGGAATCAGAGCTTTCATTTTCTGTGCCATCTTAAAAGAAAGGATCGTTCCACACCCTACACAGGCTCTTGGATTTCTGTATTTCTTCAACATGTCCTGCATTTATAGAACCATCAAGGAATAAACTTTACATAGTAAAAAATGAACCCCCAAAGCAAAGAGAGAAACTTGCCTGGCTGGAATCAAGATACTGGCTCGTTCCTGCAGCATCTTGCATCCATCTGTAGACAGAATCATCAAAAGTCTGGTTACCAGCCGCCATGTGAATATCCTGCATGAGCTTCTCTGTGAACCCTTGGTCTGCCAAAAGAGCCTCCTCAAGCGCCATCTGAAAGTCCCCGGGGTTGCATCCACGCAGCTCCGACTGTTCTTGAAACCTAAAGTAACAAAGTAAACTACTAATCACAACATCCCTCCATCCACATATATAAACATACAAAGTAAGATTCTAGCGACGGCCCACCTGTCTACATAATCCACAAACGGAAAGATCATGCCTCTCCTAACCCATGCATAGTCCCTTTCATTCTCTGTCCCAGAGTGACCAAAGAACATGACACAAGCTGCATCAGGTATACAAGAACGCAGCACAAGCTCCGGCGCTTGCGTCATTGGATCGATGACAATCGCCGGCCAAAACGGCTCACTCCTCCCGGATTTCCCCCAAACCAAATCACCGGAATAAAAATCCTCTGGCCCGTAAACACCTTCTTTCTTCGGACGTGCCTCTTCTTCGACCGTATTAGTAATAGTGCGTGAGCTACTCAAATGCTTCCTCATGTCACTATATCTCACAATCTCTTCACACTCCTCATCATCGTCATCTCTGTCTTCACACAATCCTGCATTACTACTATACTTAAGATTCCTAGAAGTGAATTTAGCTTTGACTTTCTCCTTTTTGCAATCTTCTTTAATCTCTTCTTCTTCCTCCTCGCTCTTACCATCTTTCCTCCAATTCTCGATAACCGAGTCGTTAAACCGAGAAGGAAGCACCTGAACACGTCCTCTCGATGTCCTCACGAGCGGCGGCCGAGAAACATCAGCAGCCGTCGCCGTCCGATCTCTTCCGCTTCCACGGCCGGAATCAGAGACTGTTACTCTCTTTGACTTTGACTCCGGTTCCTCCACTTCAACGGGAGAAGGAGAAGACAGAGCTTCCTTGCACCACGAAGCAGAGAATCCATTTAATCCGTCGAGCTTCCCCGGAACTATCCCGGCAGCGATCTCTCCGAGGAGATTGAGAGGGTAATAGCAATCGTTTACTTTTCTCTTCTTCCGAGCTGCTCCTCCGTCGACTTCCTCCTCATTGCATCGTTTCAAACTCGGCATTCGAGTTTTCAGCTTCCGTTTGATTATCATTGTTTCTGATTTCGGAAATCCAAAACCAATCACTGCATCACAGATGTTTTTTTCACTGATTTCCCAAATTCTCCCCTTTTCCGAATTGCAGAAACCCTATTCTCTCTCCCCCAATTCCAGAAATTCGTCTGTGTTGGCTTCAACAATAACGGAATAATCCTCCGTCGAGTTTGACCCACTATCGAAGATCGCATACAGAATTGTAAAAATTGTTTTTTTTTTCTTCTTTGTGGTGGAAGGAGGAGAAAAATTTCTCAGAAACACGAAAGAACAGAGAGAGAGATCTGTTCTCAAAAATCCAAACTTTATCTCGCTCTAAACTCTTTCTCTCTCTTAAGAACACAGAATAAAACAAAATGTGTAATTCCGTTTATGATTTGGATAAGGAAAAAAAACAGAATGCTGAATTAACTGAAAGACGGAAACTTTTTTTTTCTCTGCTCTCGGTGAGGAAATTTTTCTAGAGAGAGAGAGAGCGTGACCAGAGTTTAAGAGAGAGAGAAGACGACGACGAAGAGAGAGAGAAGAGAAAATAAAATAAAAAGAGAGATTGTGCACATTACTGGAGATTGATGTCAACAGGCTAACTTGCGCTTATGCCTTCCTCCTTCTTTCTTCGTTTCTTTCTCGTTTTCTGGTTTAAAGTTTAGACTGTAGACAGACTTCATGTTTTGGTATATTTGGTTACTTTCCAATTTCGAAATCGAATTGTGTTTCTGCTATTTTGATGCTTTTTCTAGCTATAATAGTTATAATAATCTCCAAGATCCATGGAACTGAAACTGGAAGTTAACATGGTACGACTAACGACACTGTACTCGTGTGAGCTCTCTGTTTTGTCATCAACTTTTATTTATTTCGTATGCTTTTTCCCTTTTAGAAATTTTTGAAAAGAAGTCAACTTTTTTTTGGGTAGGTACATATTTTTTTCTCGAATTCATTACTCTACTTTGCTTTTTCAGTTATTTTTAATATTTGTCTCAGAGAATCCAAATCTTTCTGATCAACAATTCGTTGAAAATCCATGACTCCGAGTAACAAAAAACCACAGATTATTATAGTGTAGAAGATAAAAAGGGTTTATATAAATGTGGAGTAAAAAGAGTTAAGTAGTTTGAAAACACCAAAAGAATGACTATTTTTGATATTGATGTGTCATGTGTTCAGTGCATTTGTTATGTACTTCTTATATAGTAAAAGCACCAGAACAGTAACACCACATATATTGTAGCACAAGAATCATGTGTAAAGAAAAAAAATGAGTAGAGGAGAAGAAGCATCTACATGAAAATTTTGACATTTGCATAATAGAATTGATCTTCCAGATACACATGGAACATAAAATCATGAAATTCTCTTTTGTAAATTTGACAGAAATAGTGCTTAGAAGCAAAGAAACATCAAACACCTTTTTATACCACAAGATCAAACATTTATTATAGATATATCTACATCATCTACATCTCTCACCAGTCCAATACATTACCTTTTTAGCTACAATAATAAATTACTTCTTCAGCTACAATTTATTTCCTTAAACCTTATTCAGAGATATATACAAAACAAAACAAAAAAACTAATTGGATGCTTATAATATTTTTAGTTTATACATATAATAATATATAAAACAAAACTAGTTTCTAATGAGATGGGCTTTTGTCTCTTTATTCTTCTAGTTTCTTTCTTTTTGCTCCCATTTTGCTCAAACCATTCTTCTATTTCCTCTCCTCTGTCTTCGCAAACCTTCCTCGGATCCTCGGTTGGCTATCCGCAAGAGCTTTCCTACATGCATACTGAAACCAAACCAAACCAAACCACACAACAGAAACACATTTCAGTTACTTTAAGCTTAAACTCATTTAGCTCTCAATCATTTAGAGGATCTCCAAGTGTTTTGTTTGTATACCTTGATTTTACGCCCAAAGTTGCGCCTGCTCTTCTTGTTCCTGTATCGAGAAAGCTTCTCACGACGATCTTCCGAAGTACAGCTCACAATGATCCTATCCAATGGAGATTGAGCTGCAAGACCATTCCCAAGTTTCTGCTTCATCAAAGAAGATGTTAAATTCTTGATGAATTCAACATGACAAATTCATACTAAATATGTCTCGAACCTCTATGTCGCCTTCACTAAAGGCTCTTCGCATCCCATAAACAGAACCAAAATCCAGCTGAGCAAAGTCAGGTAACTTCTGAATCACAACAGCACTCTCTTGCTGTGCATGTGACCAATCCATAGAGCTCAAATTCCCCGAGCTCACGCTCTTCTGAATATCCTGGCTGTTCTCATTCGTCACAACAGAGATGTTCTTGATGTCTAGAACATCGGAGAAAGGAGACTCCATTGCTGATTTCATCATGAGATCTTGCTCACATTCATAAAAGGCTTTGTCCAAAAGCTGTTGACCACCGAGATCAAGATCAGGAAGCTCACAAAGCCCTTGTGAAGTGTCGATCATCGTCAAAGCAGCTGAGAGTGAATCAACGGGCAAGATTGGCTCTTCAAGAATTGGATCAGGTGCTTTGAACAGATCTCCTTCTTCTCCAATGTCATACTCAGGTATGATGTTTGATGACTCAACAAAAGTGTTCTGCAAATCACAATCAAAAGTAAACATCGAATCAGAGACCACAAACAAAAAACAGAACATAGTTCGAGACATTCAGACAGTGAAACACAAGTCTTTTTGCGAGTGGATTCGTTCAAAAAAGGGTAATAGAGCCAACTTAATAAAAAAAGCGAATCTTTTTTTTTTCTTCAGTGGAGGATTGATTTGTGAGAAAGAAAGAGCCAATGAAACAGCACAAAACCCATTTCTAGTTTATAAGAGTGATTTAAATTAGAACAGAACAAGTCTTGAAGAACACGGAATCTCATGTTCCAGAAATCACGGAATCTCATGTGTGAAAGAGCAATTCTCAATTTCCCATTAATCAAATCAGACTCATATAACAAAAAAAAAAAAAGACTTTCTCTAGTATCCCTAGAAAACGCCTTTTTACATTTTCTCACGGAAAAAAATGTTTTTTTGGCTTTTTGCAGCAGAAGAAGATTCCGTTTTTTCTTCTGTCCAGAAGAAAAAAAGAAAGAAAAAACCTAAATTTTCCTACTCAACTTTCTCAGCAACAAAAAGAAACACATATATTCAAGTCAGCGGAACAAAAATATCTCATCAAGTGGTCATAAGAAAATTTCCGAGAAGAAAATATAGTATTAATTAGCCACTTAACAGTTTCACACCACAAATTTTCCTCTGGAAAAACACTTCACTAGTAGACAAAATTGCTTTCTTCATCTCTTATACACTCGAAGTTTAACTTTGTTACTTCATAAATACAGGAAGAAAGAAGATCAAATACATCAAAAAGACAAGAAAAAAAACAATCAGAGAATCTTCCGGACAAACCCAAAACCTAGAAAATCAGTTTAAAACTCAACCAAAAATAAAATAAAATTCATCACAAGTAAAAAATAAGAAGATCTGTATTCAAATGCAGTGAAATGGAAAAAATAAAATTTCAAACCATTTCATCGGAGAGCTTGTATGATTTGAAGAGGTCTTCGAATTGGTGAATATCTGGAGAACAGTTTTGCATGTAACAAAGCATTAAGCCAGAATCTGCATACATTTTGTGTTCTTGCTCTTTGGGAGATAAAACTTTGGGAAGTAGGAAATGGGTTTTTAGAGAACATAAAAAACAGAGGCCAAGTTGAGAATTTGAGAGGAAACCCTGAGAGAAAAAGTTTGGTACTTTGCTCTCCTCTGTGCCTTTTTATGACAGAGAGAGGCTCATTTACATTTATTTGTTTATTGGGGGCACTGTGGACACCATAGAGTAAAAAAGCCCATAAGGCCATTATTATTATTTTATATTAAAAAACTATTTCATTTTTGCAATATAATTAAAAAATAAAATAAAGAAGAAAAAAAGGTGTCCAACTACATATAAATGTCTTTTCTTGTGTAAATTATTCCATTGTAATCATTTTATATTCATATATGTTGATCATAACTTCTTATTCTAGGGTCGTGATTAGCTTTTTAAAAAACTTTTATTCATCAGGAATAAATGGATTGAAGTATAAGTTTGTAACAGTTGAAGAAAGTGATAAACAGTTACAAAATAGTTTAAAAATGTTAAAAATAATGGTCAAACAACACAAACACATGGTATGTATATTGTTTTTGATACCGCTAGTTAATACTCCCTCCGTTTTTTAAAGATAAATTTTCTAGTTTTTTCACACAGATTAAGAAAAAGTTGATTTTCAATCATTAGTGCATAGATTTCTGCAATAAAACAACTTTTTATAATTTTAAACCAATAAAAATCCAACAAATATAATCATTGTATCTTGAAAACTGAAAAAGTGCATCAAAAAGGTAAAAATTTTATCTTTGTGAAACAACACATAATGGCTAGAAAATTTATTAAAAAAAAACGGAGGGAGTATCATTTTTATGAATGGTTGCAACGAAGCTAAACATTTCTTTTGGTACCACACAGTACAGTAGTATAAAATTACCGAACACAACCAATTATTTTTGTATTACTTGTAACCTGTGTTGTGTGGAAAAGTGGAAACATTTGGAAAATATGAAACATGTGTTTTGAAAAAATAAAAAATAAAAATGTTTTGAAAACATTAAAATGTTAAACATATAAATTAGTTTAAAGTAAATAAATATTAAATAGTTTATCAAAAATAAAAGTCATAATTCAATAGAAAAAAAAAATCATATTCATTTGCATAATCATTTTGATGAACTCCATCAACTAAAACTATTTTCAACTATGGTTTATCGAGAAAATATCTTAAATTCTACAATGTCTTTCATTTAACAAATCAAGTTAATCATTAACTTACTCAAAACAATTAAATTAATAACTGAATCTTATTTTGTTGGTTTTTAAATTGTTTACTTATTAAGTTTCAAAAAACAAAAATTAAGTTTCCGTCAAGTTTCCAAAATGGAAATGTCTTTCCATCATTTTTATAAACTGAAATGTTTTAGAAACTTGGAAAAATGAGTTTTCAACTAATTTCCAAAAGTTTTTGTTTCGGAACCATTCCGAAAACAGGGAAAGACACTGAGACAGAGTTTTCATGCAAGCTAGCATATAAATTGTAACTGTTGAGTGTTAACTATACAGACAAAGCTCTGACATGAGCAGTGAATAATGGTTTATGTAACGTTTTAGTTGTTTTGTCAATATTCACAAAGATTCTTTCGGTTCATTTTTATCTCGCGTTTTTTATAATAATTTTCAATAAAATCAAGAGAAATTTTAAAAAAATACATTTTTTGGGATGTCATTTAAAACTTCACATCTTTGGCATTTAAATATAAGTTTGGGTTCACTAATTATTGATTAGACTTTAGATTTAGGGTTTAGAGTTTTTATTCTATGGTTTCAAGTTTAGATTTTATGGTTTAAATTTTTTTTATTCAAAATAAAAGTGTAGTTTTGAAATTTATTGATTTCAACATTCTAAAAGTATAATTTTGAATATTGAGGCATATTATTGAAATTTCACCAAAAATAAATATATGTTGATTACTTCTATAAATCACCAAGAAATTTTGTCTTTTATGTGTTTTGTCTTTATCACTTTCACACATATACTTCTGCGGAGTGACAAGGGATATTTTAACATAATGCATACAAATTAACAAACTTTTCATAATATCAATATACTCTTACTTTTCTTAACAATCAAAAATATTTATTGTAATGTTAGTTAAAGAAAACAATACACATTTTTCCATTACAAATATAAAACATCGTTCCAAATAAAAAAATGTGGCTAAAATATCATTTGATATAAAATACTACTCCATCCGTTTGATAATAAATGTCGTTTTGACAAAATGAATTTGGACCATTTATTGATGTATTTGAATGTGTTTTGAGTCTTAATATATACATCCATATACATCTAGATACATTGGGTAAGTCAAGAGTCAAAACTACACTTATTATAAAACGAAGGGAGTAATACATATGGAATACTAGATTAATGGGTCCTCACATGAGCTTAGTAACCAAAATAAATATTGTTACACGTTAATCTAAAGTTTTCAAATGTTGATCTGGTTTGAGATGTAAGGAGTAAAAAGTTAAATATGTAAGCTTGGAATTAAAACAGGTGAAGCATGACGACTTGCAAGGAACACTGTTCCTTGTCCATTTTTCACATGTCTTTTCTATATTCCATTTTTTCAATCATAAGGTTCCTTTTCTTTTTAATAAAAACACTATGACAACTGTACATATACTCTCAAACGCGTTTACGTATATTTTTACATGCCTAACCAAAAGAAACTTTTTAAGTCGAAGAATTTGGGTGAAAAGTACGTCACTTTGGTGTATAGATAAAAATCGGCTTTAAAATTGACAAAAATGTTGTCAAATAAAAAAATAAAAAAAACTTAACAATACAAAACTGATTTGTTTTTAAAAATATGAAAATAAAACTATATATTCTTAAACTGAATAATTTATAGGAATCTAATCCAAACTAAATATAATACAAATATAGTAATAAAAGGACAAAAGAGCTGTAGTAAACCGTATGGGATTGAGATAGACAAGAACTTGAAAGTTTAAATAAACATTAAACAAGCGACTGATGTTGATTAGGTTAGATTTTTGTCAATCTTTGTTTTGCTTTTATTTTGGGACTATTAGACTTTACAGTGATTGCTTTTTGTAAACTAAGCGATAAGAGACTTATTAGCAATGGAAGTGATAATTAGCTAAGATATTACGGTGGTACGGCTGCAACTTGCAGAAGCTAACCGCAACACAATACACAAAGCACATGTCTTGTGTGGGCTCTACATTGCTCTGTTCCTCTGCCACTTCCTCATTTACTTTAGATCGAGGCGCGTGAACAATAAGATTCTCTCGCCAATAGAAATTAATTTCTACTTACTTTAGTATGAAATGGTTTAACAATTGTGTTTTTACTCTAATGGTAACATCTTTTGGATGGTGGGATTAACATCTTAAACTCTGAACAGAACAAGTGGTTTTGATTGATAAACCTTATTGTTACGGAAGCATAAACTTAAATAAAATTGAAAATGTAAATGCATCCGTTCTACCACATTAATTGTGAAGCAAGTACATTAAATCCGTGCTTTGAATTGATCAGAGATCAATGACGACATCAAATAGATTAGGACTATGGACGAGTAAAACATGTTTTGTACTAATTATCAAATTGGCTATGTAGCTTCTGTATTAGTGTATCATATTCTAACTAAAGATACTTTTATATGACACAATCACTCACCGAAGATAAAAGACGACAGAGATATTTTGTCTTTGTTTTTCTTATTTCCCGATGAAGGCCCAATTTTGTTTGTTGTTCACTCGTCACAATCTTATTCATCACAACCAAATGTGATGATAATTCACAATCAGTCACTTAACAATATTATATATGTAAGATTTAAACAATAAAAAATCTTTGTAACACATGTGCGTACCTTCATGATAACATGATACAAAAAAAAAAATTGTTTGTTTCATTCGTTCACATAAAGTCATATGAATATATAACATTGTCCAGAGTCTGGGACAAGAGAATGAAAATTGAAAGATTTTGTTACTTATGAACATCATTTCCCACTAATAGTACGTGATGATATTGAAGTTGGATTCGAATTATTACTTTTGTGTCCATAATTTTCTTAGATTCAAAAACATAAATCCCGAAAATGGAAAGTGGAAACTGGGCTATGGAAGTTTCTATCTACTTGGTCTCAAATCCCTCAAACCTAGTCGTTTAAAAAGTTACAAATTCGGCTAACAACAAATGACCCTGTTTAATACTAGGTTTAACCAAACTAAATCACATGTGGAAATGTATCACCTTTTCGAAAAAATAGACAAAAACTATAAAGCGTCTAGACTGTAAAAACGGTCTTTGAATGTTTGATAGCGTCTAACAAGAACATCAAATATAGCAAACGATAGAACTCTCATGAATGAGAACGATCATAAAGTATTATTTGGCCAACATAGCGACATGTACACTTAACATTCTCTTACTCATTGTGTAAAAATATAATAATTGTTTTCATTTAAAACAAACTGAAGATATGCCTCGTGGGATTCGTCTTTGGGCCTAGAAAGCCTTTAGAATTATCCATGGTTATCAAAAAAAAAAAAAAAAAAAAAAAAACAAACAAACTGAAGATATGCCGCACTGAAATTGCAATGGATTGAATCTAAATTTGCAGTAGGTTTTCTGTAGATAATTCTGTCTTTTATGATCTGAATTTGGACCCAAGAAATAATGAGGAGAATAATAAGTGTCCGTATTTGCGGATGCATGTAGCACATATAGGTACTTATTTGTAAGTTTAGTACAGCTGGAACAACAACAACAACAACAAAAATGCATAGCCCAAAGATATATCTTTTGCCTTCTATATTAAAAAAAAAACAAAAGGAAGAAATATTCCGTCCTTTTGTATATTGGTTTTGTAGATGTGAGCATTGGCTGATTTTTTGTTCGAAAGTAACATGATATTATATTTTTTGGAGTTGTTATTTTTTTTCTATGTTAATTTTACATCGAAGGTTTCATGCCATACGACTCATTAAAAATG